GTTAGGTTTGAACCACGATCCTGCAGATCTTAACCACCTGACTAGGTAGGAGTACAGGTGTGAGTCACGGGCACCTAGCTCTGCCTTTTGGCTTTTGTTGGGCCTCAGTTCCATTTCAGTTTCTGCCTGGCTTTCTGAAGGCACGCTAAGCAGTTTTTAAAGAGTCCACTCAGTGAGTGTTCTAGATGCTGAGAGGAAGTTTTGGTGGTAAAGTGTGAGTGGGCTTTAATTTGGCTCATGAGTAGCCTGACCTATGCCTAATAGAATCTCACTGGGAGGTAAATACGGCTGTAGGAAGAGCCCTACCCTGGCTCACTTCCTGATCTCCGGACCTGACCCAGGGCTTTCAGAAGTTGAGTGTGGCAGCATTGTCACAGACAATGAAAGTGGCCACTGGTGGTTACCCAGTGCTCAGTACAGGCCAGCCCTCTGCTAAGTGCTGTTCCTATTTTATATTCATGCTCGCTGGCCCGTGAGGCCTACTGTTCCCACCTTCTCACAGGAGGGAAAATGGGGCTCACAAATGAACTCACCCGGGGTCATGTTTCTGGTAAGTACATTTGAACTGAGTCCCGCATGGTGGTTAATAGCCCAGGCACATTTTATTGTTCTCAGTGGCTTTACATCTCGTATACATTCCAGCTACCTCTGAATTCACCCAGAACTCTTGACCCAGAGGCTCTGAATCTAGAGGTTTGAGTGAGCGGGGGCTTGACCCTGCACTGTTTGTTCGATTTTCCAGAAATATCGTCCCATGCAATGTTTATCCATTGTAAGCATATAGTCTAAAGAAATACTAGTTGTACAGAGACTTGAAAGTACCAGCTTAGTCAAGATAGGAATCATTTCCCTAACTCTAAAAGGTCCCTTGTGCCTTTTGATTCCTTGATAACCTACGCAAACCAGCTGGGAAGCTGGTTCGGGTGCTGGGCAGATGTGGAACCCCTGAACCGCGTTACGGTGACCACACACAAATGAAGAATGAAGTCCCAGGAAAGAAGGGAAATTGGCCTGTCTCCAAATACGCTGTGCTCCAGCTCTATGGGGGTACAGAGTATGGGAAGAAGACAGTACTATGGGCAGTCCAAAGATGGAGATTTTCCTATAGGCAAATACCACCTTTGTTTCTTTGATTCTCTCTCTCTCTCTCTCTTTCTCCTTCTCTCTCTTTGATTGCAGGAATCCAATAGTAGTGCTCCTTAATCTGAAGTCTAGTCACAGAAAGATGAGCCAGGAGTCACGCTCTTGTTGTGGTGCAAAGAACTTTTGTATAATAAGTAGAACACGTAAAATAGTGTCTCACAGCAAGAGGAAGTTTTGATGAGCATGTCAGAAGAGTAGGGTTGCAGAAGAAATTCTGAAGTTGTGTTTCCTAAGTTGAACCTGCTCAAGCCTTAAGCATTTCCTTTGTGAGCATTTCTCCTGTGAGGTTGTGACGTGTGGCACCCCCCCCCCCATCCCACGTGAGAGGGTCTGCACAAAAGACTCGCCATCTCATTCCCAAGCCCCTCGGTGAGTCACCGGCTGCCTTCCCGGTGGATGTCTGCACTCTGGCACGGATTCTGCGACTTGAGTTTCCTCATGTGTGATTGACCTCCAAAGGAAGCATCTGGAGCAGTCCCAGGGCTGATTAGAGGAGGAAGGAAAGGGAGAGAGGAAGATAGGAGGGGTACTGGGGAAGGGTAGAGTGGAGATAACAGGGATGAAGGGTGTAAACAAAATCACCCAGGCCTCCACTTCCCTGACGAAGAGTGAGCTGGGAAAAGCCCCATCGGAGATAACACTGAAGTGTGTGATGTAAACTTCGAGAATTACATCCTAGCCAGTTTGAGTGCAGCCGACTATATAAGGTTTAAGTTACTTTACATTTCTTTCTTTTCTTTATTTAGCCAGTCTTGGGGCTTGAACTCAAGGCCTGGGCACTGTCCCTGAGCTGCTTTTGCTCAAGGCTAGCGCTTTACCACTTGAGCTACGGTGCCACTTCTGGCTTTTTCTGCCTAGGTGGTACTGAGGAATTGAACCCAGGGCCTCATGCATGCTAGGCAAGCACTCTACCACTGAGCCACCTTCCCAGCCCTCCATTCTTTAAAACAAACAAACAAACATTCAGCAATGTACAGAGGGGTTATAGTCACCTAAGTTAGGTAACGAGTTTATTTCTTTTTGGACAATGTCACCCCTCCCTTTGCCCTCTTTCCCAATCTTTCCCTCCTGTCTCCACCCACAATTTGTAAAGTTCTTTTTCTACATAGTGTCTCGTGAGTACCTCTGCAGCATTTCTCCATCCTGTGTCCTCCATATCTGTGTATTTTACATTTCTAGTACTTTGGCATTGCTGCCTTCACAGCTGGTTTCAGAGCTTCATAACGCTGAAGCACTTTAACAGGTCAACATTATAACATGAAGGTGAGAAGTAAAATGGAACATTGGAGACCTTCTTAGACTCATGTGACTTAAAGATCTGGTCTGAGCTGGTCCTGTGGAGTGGTTGCACACAGAGTCTAGCTATGCAAGGATGGGTCTCGCAGAGCCAGGCTAGCCCTGAGAAATCCTGGAGTAGTCACTCATGTCTGACTTCTCTGAAGCTTTTTTTCTTTTCTTTTCTTTTTTCTTTCTTTTTTTTTTGGGTCAGTCGTGGGGCTTGAACTCTGGGCCTGGGCGCTGACCCTGAGCTCTTCAGTGCAAGTCTAGTGCTCTACCACTTGAGCCACAGCGCCACTTCTGGTTTTCTGGTTTAATTGGAGATAAGAGTCTCATGGATTTTCCTGCCCGGGCTGGCTTTGAACCTCCATCCTCAGGCCTCTGCCTCCTGAGTAGCTAGGATGATAGGCTTGAGCCACCGGTGCCTGTCCTCTGAAGCTTTTGATGTCAGCTTTTTGTTATTGCCAACTACCTCCAAGCCTCTTGGCTATGGCTAGAAGGTACAAACCAGCTCCCTGCTTTCTGCAAGATTGCGTTTTAGTTTTGGAGACACGGTGTATAAATAATTAATTGTTCCAGACAGTGTATCAGGTGTGAGATTAGCAGAAAGGGCCGTGTGCTCTGCAGGTAGCCGTTACAGATGAGACTGGCTGTGATGGTTGTGGCTGTCGTGATTAGGGAAGATGTTATGAGAACCTGGGATTTCACCATGACTCAGGGATGGAGCAGTTTGAGTCACAGCATGCTATCAGTACTACTTGGGGGCCTAGGTGCTGTTCCTGAGCTTTCTTTTTGGCTCAAAGCTAGCGTTCTACCCCTTTGAGCCCCAGCTCCACTTTCCAGTTTTTAGGTGGTTCATTGGAAATAAAGAGTCCTGCAGCTTTTCCTGCCCGGGCTGGCTTTGAACCTCGATCCTCAGGTCCCAACCTCCTGAGGAGCTGGGATGACAGGCGTGAGCCACCGTGCCCAGGCAGGCCATACACACTGCAGCCTTTAGAAGACATTTAAGGCTGGGAAGGAGGCTCAGTGGTAGAGCGTTTGCCTTGCATGCTTGAGGCCCTGGGTTCGATTCCTCAGCACTACATAAGCAGAGAAGGCTGGAAGCGTCGCAAACAAAAAGACACGTGTGTGTGTGCGAGTGTGTGTGTATGCGAGTGTGTGTGAGTGTGAGTGTGTGTGCGAGTGTGTGAGTGTGCGAGTGTGTGACTGTGTGCGAGTGTGCGTGCGAGTGTGAGTGTGCGAGTGTGTGACTGTGCGAGTGTGTGTGCGAGTGTGACTGTGTGTGTGTGTGGGGGGTCTGCAGAGCTGGGGTGGCTGTGGTCTCCGTAGTACACAGGGGTTTGCTTCCCTGTCTCTGCCCCCCTTTCCCTCCCCCCCCCCCCCGTGTCCCTCCCCCAGGACTCCTTCCCCTCTCTGGGGGGGGATGAGGAACCCGAGCCCAGGGCTGACCCCGCAGGTGGATGGCCTCCCCATCCCTGGCCGGCCGGCCTGTGGGGAGGAGGGAAGGGGAGAACGGGGGGGGGAGGACGGGGGGAGGGAAACGGGGGGAGGGAGGACGGGGGGAGGGAAACGGGGGGGGGGGAGGGAGGACGGGGGCCGGGGATTTCTCTGCTGTGGAGCAACCACCTGATCCGGGCCGCGGGCGGGCGGGGAGGGAGGGCGGGCGCCCCCAGCTCGGGCCGCGGGGAGGGCGGGCGGGCGCCCCCAGCTCGGGCTGCGCGGGGAGGGCGGGCGCCCCCAGCTCGGGCCGGCCGGGGAGGGCGGGGAGGGCGGGCGCCCCCAGCTCGGGCGGCCGGGGAGGGCGGGGAGGGCGGGCGGGCGCCCCCAGCTCGGGCCAAGCGGGGAGGGCGGGGAGGGCGGGCGCCCCCAGCTCGGGCCAAGCGGGGAGGGCGGGGAGGGCGGGCGGGCGCCCCCAGCTCGGGCCGGCCGGGGAGGGCGGGGAGGGCGGGCGCCCCCAGCTCGGGCCAAGCGGGGAGGGCGGGGAGGGCGGGCGCCCCCAGCTCGGGCCAAGCGGGGAGGGCGGGGAGGGCGGGCGGGCGCCCCCAGCTCGGGCCGGCCGGGGAGGGCGGGGAGGGCGGGCGCCCCCAGCTCGGGCCAAGCGGGGAGGGCGGGGAGGGCGGGCGCCCCCAGCTCGGGCCAAGCGGGGAGGGCGGGGAGGGCGGGCGCCCCCAGCTCGGGCCGGCCGGGGAGGGCGGGCGGGCGCCCCCAGCTCGGGCCGGCCGGGGAGGGCGGGCGGGCGCCCCCAGCTCGGGCCGGCCGGGGAGGGCGGGGAGGGCGGGCGCCCCCAGCTCGGGCCGGCCGGGGAGGGCGGGGAGGGCGGGCGGGCGCCCCCAGCTCGGGCCGGCGGGGCCCGGGGATGCCTGGGCGGCGCGGGGGCGGCGGCGCGGCGCGGGGCGGGAGCAGCCCGGGCTCCTAGGCAACCGCGCGGGGCCGCCCCGCCCCGCCCCGCCAGCCCCGCCAGCCTGGGAGCCAGCGAGCGAGCGAGCGAGCGAGCGAGTCCGCGGGAGGAGGCCGAGCCCGCCGCCGCCGCCGCCGCGGCCATGCTGAATCACCGCGGCTGAGCCGCCGTCCCCGGCCCGGCCCGCCCGGAGCCTCGGCGCCCGCCCGCCGCCATGGAGGGCCAGAGGTATGTGAGTGTGCGTGTGCGCGCGCGCGTGTGCTAACCCGTGCGTGCAGAGCGGGTGTGCAGACGCGTGCGTGCCTCCGCGTCCGCGTGCGCCCGCCTCCCCGCCTCCCCGGGCCCGGGGCGCCCCGGCCCGGCGGGCCACGAGGGGCCGGCCCCAGCGCCCGGCCCGGGCCGCCCTGCCCGGACCGCCCTGCCCCGGCCAACGCAGGGCCCGGCCGGCCGGCCGTGCAGTTCGCGTTTTGCATCTTGGTGCCTCTCTTCCAGTGTGTGTGTGTGTGTGTGCGTGTGCAGGCACCGCCACCCCACCCGCATGCATGGTCAGGGAGGCAGGAATCAAGCCCAGTCAGATGGCACCTGTCCCCCAGTTGCAAAGTTCCTGAGCTATCCCGCTTTCAGGGAACCCTGGCCTCCTCCCCCTGGGCGTCTTCCCACCAGAAGGGGTGTCAAGGGCTCGCCCGGGCCAGGAGTTAGCTCTTCCCTCCAACAGGCTCGCGCACCCCCCACTCCACACTGACCCGCGGACCCCCACCCTCCCCCTGTGAAGGCGGTAGAGTCCTGGCTCCCTGGTTAAGAGAGAAGGGGAGTGGGCTCAACGCAGCCAGCATCACCTGCAGAGCAAGGTGGACGGGGAGGGCTGGCCTTCGCTTCCCGGGTTCACCTGAGCCTGGCATGGGGGGTGAGGAGGGCAGAGAGATGTTTAGCACCTGTTAGAAGGGGGCTCTTCCCATCCCCTGCTCTGAAGGGGCTTTCCGGTGTGTCCATCCCGGGAAGCACTTGGGACTTTTCAGACCCAGTGCCCCTCTCCATGGATGCCCTTGAGACAGTCCCCCGGTGACTTTCTGGTGGCAGGACATCTAAAAATCGCCTTGGGGTAAAGGGGACAGTGTCCTTGGCTAGCCGAGGATGTGGGTGACTGGACAGAAGTGTAGAGATTCTGGACCACACAGGGCCTAATAAGACTGAAAGGTCAGTGTGAGGCTACCAGCCACAAATGGAGCAATTTTGGGGCACTGACTGTTCCCCAAGTTCTGTGTTCAGAAATATATAAATCCCTTCCTCCTGGGGGGGGGGGGCATTGCGGTCTACGGGGAGAGCTGAGGTCCATGGCTTTCGAACACCTGGTGGCACATGTTCTGCTTTTCCTCTACTAGAAGCAGAGTAAATAGCTAGCCAAGCCGAGCATTTCCAAGCCAGCTTTTGTTCCCCCTTCAGGTCTTCCTAGCTTATGTGCCAAGTGTTCCAGTCTTCCAAGATTGTTCCCACTGCAGGCCCACAGGCCCCCCCAAGAGCCCTACTGGCCCTTCTTTGTGGTGACCTGTCCACGACTAGAGCGGCCTCCCATCTCTCGTTCCCAGCATCCCTTCTTGCTGGCTACATTTCTCTTCCTCTTGGTAGAAGTTACTGGCAAGAGTGTTTCAAAACTCCACTTTATCTTGGGCATCTTAACCTTTCTAGTCTCGGCTGATATTCTTGGTGCCTTTCGTCTGTGTGTCAGAGCTGGGTACGGAGTACTAGGTCCTGGCTCACTGATAACCTTTGTGAGAAACTCAGATCACCGACAAGAAAACTGGCAGAGACGAGGTTGAAATCTTTACCCAGTAGATTCGTCTTTGAGTATCAGTCTTATTATCCCAGTACAGGTAACTGACCTCACGAGATGCTTTGGTGGTAGAGGGGAATCAGAGGGAAGAAGTAGCCTTGTTTTATTAAGTTCCTGGAAACTGAGTGGCCACCAGGGCCAAGTGCCTGGCGCAGGATTACGTGTCCAGCCCCTCAGGGATCAGAGAGCCAGGATCTGTTTCACGTCTAACTTGCCAAAGCTTAATACGGGGGAGTTTCTTTGGTGTCAGTCCTAGGGCTTGAACTTGGAGTCCTTGAGGTTTTTTGCTCAAGGCTGGTGCGCTGCTACTTGAGCTACTTCTGGCTTTTTTGCTGGGGAGGGAGAGAGAGAAGCAGTGGCAGGGTGCTTAATCGGAGATAAGAGTCTCACGGACTTTCCTGCTGGGACTGGCATCGAACTGAGATTCCCCAGATCTCAGCCTCCTGAGTAGCTAGGGTTACAGGTGTGAGCCACTGTTGCCTGGCAGTAGAGGTCTGTCTGTTAAGCTTGAAAGGCTTTCTCAATCAAGAGATTCCTGGTGAATAACTTTCCCATAAGGACATGAGTCTGCCTTCTAACTTGCAAGGCTTCTCATTAGAACATAGACTGTGGAGCTGCGCAGACTCACTCAGTGTCATGTGTACACACACTGGGTGACCTTGAGTGTGTCCCATTTTTTTTTTTTTTTTAACAGAACGAATTTGTTTTTCTGTCTAAAAGGAGTAATGACCGCACTGTAGTTCTTGGCATCACTGCCGGAGTGAGACGCGCTGCGTACGTAGCTGGTGCTTTCTCCGATGGTAGTCTCTGTCATGGCTGGCAACTCTTCTCCTGCTATGTCGTGATTATGTGAGGCCATCCCCATGAGAAAACGAGGGTGAACTTTGGCACACCCTGGTCCGAAACCCATCCTTACTGTAGGAAGTCATAGAAGACTTTTATTTGCCTCTCTTTGATGCTTCACTGAGATTCACTTTCCACATGCCCTGTGGCATTTAGAAGCCTTTGTGGTTTGGAGCCCTGAGCTGGAGACTCCTTTGTTCAGGCCAAGGCCAGAAGAACCTGTGAGTTTGTGTTTTGTTTTGTTTTCTCTGCTGCCTTGTCTGGCTCTCTAGCTTTCTGCTGATTCTTTCAGTGCTCCGTCTGCCCCACCTCTCTGCACTGGACAATCTGCTGTGGCTCCATCCATCACAGGAAGGTGACTTTGCCTTCTGTTCCACAAAGGAGAGAGATCCCTGGTTCGCCGCGGCTGCTGTGATAAGTGGGCATCTCCGCGTGCCTAGAGCAGGTAGAAGACATGGGAATGGCCGTGACCCTGGGCTGCTGGGATTGTTTGTTTCCGTTTGAGAATCAGCCTTGTGGGTGGATTAAACTCAGTTTTCCACTTGCTGGTGTGTCAAGTCCATCAAGACGGTGAAACGGTTGGCAGATAGCAGAGGAAGGGGAGAATGGGTATGGAGTTTCAGTGTGGGGAAACCGCACGGCTCTGGGGATGGCTAGCTAACAGTTGTCGAACAAGATGAACTAAAAATGATGGGAATGTAGATTTCACATCCCATATACTTCACTCACAGACACTGTTCTCCATCCACACTTTGGCTGCTCTGTAAGAGTGGCAGAGAACCACAACATTTAGAAAGCAGCATTGTGAAAAGAGGAAGGTGGTGATCCCGTTCTCCTGCAGTGGTGTTATACTCTCCGTTAGAAGCATTCAAGATACCCTAACAGGGGAGAGGCACAGGTACACAGGTACTCTGGGCCGTGACTTGATGATTTCTTCCAGGGAGAGACAACCCCTGTACTCCAGGGAGCTTCTGAGATGAAGGTGCTATCCACGGATAGCACACAGATTCTCAGAGACACGTCTTAGAAAGCCAGTGCTCCTTACATGCTTAGCTCTGCGGGTGAGGTGCTGGCAGGACTCAGGGAGGAAAGAGAGAGAACAACCCTGCATTACCCCCCCCCCCCCCCCCCCCCGTCCTGTTCCTACTGACCACTCACTGAATACTCCCTTCTACCCCTAGAAGTCATTAGTAGAAAGTTAGGTAGAAATTTTTGGGTGTTACTACTTGGAGAGCCGACGTGCCTATGTTCCCCAAATCATGCTAACTGAAGCCAAATTTTCCATTTGGGTAACAGCTTTTTTTTTTTTTTAAATAAGATTTTTTTGAACTTCAAAAACAAAATGAAATCTCTGCACCTAGACATTGTTTTGGGGTGTGTGTGTGTTTCCTTGCTAAGTTTTAGATTGTAAAGCAGATCTACACAGGAACACATTTTCTGTCTGTTTTCTGTAGCAAAGTGCTTTGATCTGATGAAACTTGCCATTGTAAAACTGACCTATTTTTTTTTTTTTCTTTTCAATTTCTGGCTGAACCCTGAAACTAGGTTAAACTGAATAGACCATTAATAAACCATGTTAAAAAAATAGCTTGAACGGGCTTTGTTCTAAGATTCGCAGCCCCCGGCCTCCCCCTCCCCCCCTTCAACAAGTTCAATGGCTCTTAGGTTAGAGACCTGTGGCCCTGGAGTTGTCTTTCTAACTCATGATAGCCTGTGGTGGCCCCTGTGAAAGCTGCCCAGAAGGGAATGCTCCATCCCGGCTGTTCAAACTCAACACGAGCCTGGCTTTCCGAAAGCCGCACACGGAGGGGTCATTTTCTTTTAGCTCTTCTCTCTCATCTACTTCTGTCTGAACTTGAGTGTTTCTCCTGACATTTGGCACTTTAGGAAAGCAGTCGTGCACTGGGCTTTTAGGAAAGTGATTAGGCACATTTCTGCTCTCCAGCTTGTTTACGAGGGGGAGTGTGGGATGTAAACGGGGCCAGTGGCTGCCGGCCATCCTGGTTAATCAGGAAGGCCTGAGCATGAAGTGTCCCCAGTTCAGAACATTTAATAGCATCGATTGACTCCAGTCCACCCTGTGACTTCCTACCATGAGTTGGGGGAGGTTCTAGAAGATTTTGTTTTGTTTTCATGAGGTCTGCTTTGACTACATGGAGAAGAGTTCCGGGGTTGCTTCCTCCTTGGCCTGACTCGGTGGACTTGGTTACGGACATGAAAGCAGGCCTCAGCGTCAGATAGATGGGTTTGACCATCAGCTCCCCAATTTCGGCTTAGGCGGGGTCTTGGAGCGAATTCGATGTCCGTGTCTCTGAACAGAGCTGTTCTGAAGAGGAGAGAACAGAGCTGGAGGTGCGCTTACCCTTGTCATCGGCTTCCTGTGACTGTGGCTTTCTGGATTCTACTTTCTGAGTCCACCTGGACTGTTTTCTAGCGCCAGCTTAAAATAACCAACAACGGAGGCCCTGCAGAGAGGGTGTGAAGGGCAGAGCGCTATGTGGTAGTCTCTGTCCAAGTGGTGTATTTTGGTGTCAGAATTTGCCTGGATCCTGCTGGC